TTTTTTTTTTTTTAAATATTATTGATTTCGATTTTTAAATAGATACGACGGTATCAAATATATCGTGGAAATATATATCATGTCATTGTGTTTGTATATGATTTGATATAAATATCAATGGTGATGAGTTGTTGTTTTTTGTAATAATTTAATTAAAAAAAAAGATAAAAACTTGTTTATATATGTAATAGATAACGTAACGGTATATCAAAATATTGAAGGAAATGGTCATTTTCCATAAAAATTTCAAAGAATTCTTCCGTAACAATACATTTATACTGGATATTGTAAAAAATATCCAGATAAACTTAACGACTTTAGTAATACCATTTGCTTGTATGTTATATAACGAATGTAAGCGGTATATGTGGATATAGGACAAAATGAATCATTCGACTTACTTCCCATAAAAAGAGAATTTTATACGAAAAAACAATTCTTCGATATTTAATTTAATAATTATTTACGTACCAGGGTTGGTTGAATTTAATAAAAATTACATAATTATTATTATGTGCATATTGATTATGATGTATGATATATTTTGCACGAATGACATGTAACGATAATCTTTCTAAAAATAAAATAAAATGTGATAAAATGATGTTATTGTTACAAATAAAATTTTTCAACAATAACAATATTATCTTTTTTGATAAATAATTGGATTAAACAATATCTAGGTCGACCTAATGAAAAATATTAAACGGAAAAAATTATCAAACAATTTTTGATGAATCAATGACGAATTTAACACAATGAATTTGAAACGATATGATTGATGAAGAATTATTGCAACTTGATCTTACCTAGTGCTTATCTTACTTATACAGCCCGATAACAAAAGAATTCTTACAAAATACACTTACAATTACAATATAATCTATTATATGTAAAGATTTATCCCCCATTTGTGATCTATCTTCCATATTTTCCATTCATATAATATACACAATGGATATTCAATACTCGATATTTCCGTATACCGCGTTTGGTAATGTAACATAAATTATCGAGTAACGTTCGAAATATAGAATGATGGAAACACATCCAGTTACCGCATTATATAATATATGTGTGTTTTATTATCACATTACTGTATATGTGTATTATGCAATGAAACTGATAAAGTTTTAACAATATATTTATAACGAAATAGGCTTATTTACGTATTATCATTACTTATTATTATACCTTATATGCTCTTGTTTATCCGTTACCTTTTTCAAAAACAAAAAAATGGATATTTAAAAATAAAATATTTTCAAAATTTCCGTGTATCAAGTTTTATTACGATAGGTCAGGTCTGTATAGAAATGAGTTTAAACGATTGTAAACGATTTTACGATACTTAAATCGAAATAATGTTTATACGAACACGAACGTGTGATGGTGTGACGTGATGATGTAGAGAGAAAAATTTAAAAGCAAAAAACGATCTATTTTCTATTCTCTTGTGATCTGATTATTTTAGAGATTTACATTTACGAACATTTGTAATAAAAATCGTTTTATCGTGTGTAATCAGGTTTACAATTGGTCGTCAACCGAAAGTGCAACAATACTCTCCTCTTTTTTTTGGGGCTATACGATCATGCAAATACCAAGTGGTTATATAGCGGCATTTTGGAGTGCTCAAAAATTATTGAGTTTCGGACTGCTAGTTTGCGGAATCTTGAATATTTTGACACCAACTCTTGCCCATTACGGTGGTTATTTGGCTGTCTGTGCTTGTAGGGTAGGCATGGGACTTTCTCAGAGTTGCCTGTTACCGAGCATACACACCCTTCTTTCTAAGTGGGCACCACCGACTGAACGGGCACGACTCGGTGAGAATATCCTATTTAATAATTTATCCTCTTAATTTTATTTTCCGTATTTTCAAACTTTTTATATTTTTTTCAATCCATTTACTAACCATCGTTGTATTAACTTGAATATTAAATTTTAAAGTAATTTATATCACGTAACGTATGCGGTAAATTGTTTGTTAATTTTTCGTTTTAATTTTGTCAATTTTTTTGTTTTGCTTCTCCAATAATTTTAATATTTAATATTTATCGATGTATGTGACATTTATTCGATATATCGTTCATCAGGAAGCGAATATCGATCGATCGATTTGTTCGAGATGCATTCGTGTTTGTGCAGCAAGTGTAAATCGGGACGTTGTCTTTACCAAAAGACATGCAAAATTCATTTATCGCGTGTGTAATGATATAACGCTACTTAGCTACTTAAATGTAGATTCGTTCATAATCATCGTTCATACAAGCATGATTTTAACGTGTTGTATGTATACATTTTTTCCGACCTTGAATTTTATTCCGTTAATCGATCGTATCGCTTTAGTTTACTTGGCATAACTTTACTTGGTTTACGACCTTCCTATTCCTCCCCACTATTATTGGCGATTATGTCATACTCGTACTTCGAATTAAGCGAGGAAGAAGCTATGAAGAATTATCCCTGAATATCGAATACGCGTACCCTTGGATGAACGGCGATTCCATAACCTCTATTTCGACACGTGTGGTAAATCTATAATTTACCGTACACGTCGAGAATTTGAATTTTATATATCAACCTTCTTTGTATTTATATAAGAATATACAGGATATATACGCATACGTGTACGTATATTTTGATGATACAATCAGTGGATGATACCGTGTGAAAAAAATTAATGAAAAATATGGAATGTAATTTTTTTCATTCGAGACTTATTCGTTTTCAAACAAAAGAAAAAAAAGGAAAAACAATTGAACTCGAGAATTCATCGCTTACGCATATTTCTTTCGAAATTTTCTCGGAAACAAATGTTTAAGCGATAAAATTTTATTTCGTATTTTTTTTTCCTTATTTTTCGCACACAGAGTAATCATCTATAGTTAGATAATTTATTCGTATCTAATAGAGAAATAGTTAATTTTAAGTTATATTCGAAAATTTTTTCAATACGATTTAAAATATTCGTTATAAAATTCGCGAATTTTAAAATCTTTAAGACATCGATATTGAATAAATATAATTTTCATTTATATTATATTATATTATATATAGAAAATAATATGAACGAATATACGAATATTTTGACGAATAATCAATTTTGTTGTTAAAATTTATTCGCGTCGCATCAAATTTCGCTAAACATTTGCCGATTGTACACACGAATCATAATCCAATTACACGTATCGCTTAATATTTTTTTTTTTTTAATTTTAGGAACACTTGCTTACGCCGGTGCACAATTCGGTACCGTGATTTGTTTTCCAATTTCTGGACTGTTAGCATCATCGAGTGCCGGCTGGCCATCTATTTTTTACGTTTTTGGCGCTTTGGCCGTGATTTGGGGCGTTATATTCTTCGTTTTTGGTTCGGACAGCCCTGCTAAGCACTCGCGTATATCGGAAAGAGAAAGGCGATATATCGAAAACAGTTTAAAAAGTAGCGAGGAAAAAGAAAAACCGAGCAATGAAACGGTAAAAATTTATTCTTTTATCTCTCGTTTCAATAGTCGAATGATCGAAAAAAGAAAGAAATCGTCTATAAAATATAATATAACAATGTATGTCTATACTTTTATTTATCGTTTTATGTTTCGATATAATTATAATTTATTATTAAAGGCGATGAGAACACCGTGGAAAGCTATTTTCACGTCGGTGCCGATGTGGGCTTTAATAATTGTGCATTGCGGACAAAATTGGGGCTATTGGACTCTTATCACTGAATTACCAACTTATATGAATGAAGTTTTGGAATATAAATTGGTAGATGTAAGCAAGAATTTATTTTATCTTTGATTAATTTAATTTTATTAAATTTAAACATTCAACGATCGAAAAAATTATATTCTTATGATACGAAAATTATTTCAATGCTTCTTTTTTATCAAATTGTTTAGTAGGATGTAAGGAATATAATTTTTATCGAAAAAACGAAATGAAGAAAAATGAATGTATAGTTTATTCGTTACTTATCTTATCTATTTATTATATTTTATGTATTTTGTATCAATTAGAACAATGGAAAGATTATATCAGTTAAAAATAGAAAAATGGGAAAAAATTTACTTTAAAACAAAGAATGTACGAATTCTTTTTTATAAAATTGAACAATTTAAAATTTAAAAAAAAATAATTATATTGTGATTAAAGTTGACATCATTTTTTCTTCAATTTTTTTCTTTTGCTTAATTTGAAAATTATTAATATAAAAATATAAGATTTTCAACGTCGGATTACTTTTATATTCAAGAAAGACATTATTGTATACTTAGTATCTTATACTTATCTATGTATAAAAATTGATCGTATTTATAATATTATTTGTAATTGATCTGATGAGCAATCTCTGTACATCGAACAAGTTACCTACATCGGATAATGCAGCGTCAAATTTCAAAATTGGAAATTGACTCGATTAATGGAATAAAGATGGTATAAATATTAGAATATCGAAAAAAAAAAAAAAAAAAGAAAAAAAGAAAATTGTATCAGATTTTTTTATATTATATATTTATATATATTTATATATTTTCTACATACATACATACATCTTTCTATCTTTGTCTTTTTCAGAATGGTATTATATCGGCGCTTCCCTATTTAGTGATGTGGATCTTAAGTTTTCCGGTATGCTGGCTGGCCGATTATGCTTTAAAAAAGGGTATCTCGGCAGGAGTAATTAGAAAATTTTGCAACACGATCGCACACTGGGGACCAGCGATAGCGTTGATTTGTCTTGCCGCTATGTCGGTGCAGGATCACAAAGTGGCTGTAATCATTCTTGTGATAGCTGTAGGGTTAAACGCTGGTTCTCTATGCGGATTTCAAATTAATCATATCGATCTAAGTCCGAATTTCGCCGGTAGAATGATGTCTATCACCAATTGTATCGCATCCGTGGTCGCGATAATTGCACCAATGGTTTGCGGCCTCATCGTAACGCAAAAGGTATATTATTAATCGAATTGATTTTATTCAGATATTAATAAATTATATAATTATATTAATATAACGGTATTATATTTTTACAGAAAAGTATTACCCAATGGAACATAGTGTTTTACTTGTCTGCTGCAATTTATATTTTAGGAAATTTAATCTTTATCATTTTTGGAAGCACTGAGATTCAACCATGGAACAATCCAAAACCTGCGAATCTTGAAAAACGAAGCGACAAAGAATTAACGGTTGTATAAATATTTAAATATATATATATATATATATATGTGAGTATATGTACAAATATAATCTAATACCAACAATAAGTACAACTGGATATAAATTTCCATACTTAAAAGTTAACTAGTCGCATTGCTCAAAAATATTAAATTTAGTAATATATATATGTATATGTATATAATATTGAATAGGTATCGTAAGTTAGTGGAATTGAAGTAAAAAAAAAAATAAGGAACTATTTTATTTAATCTAAATCAGAAGAAATTGGTACAATTTGTGAAATGATAGCTTTTTACGAGAAATTTATGACCAATTTTAATTTAATTTATATTTTTACGAAACGAAAATAAAAAATTATATTATGAATATTTATATGATGCAATATTTATAAAAATATCCTTTTAATATCCTTTAATATCGCGTTCGATGTAAATATGCATATTGATAAAATACCATTTTCTTCTGCTCGATTAGATACAGATACCTATATACTGATATTCCTACGTTTATAATTATAAAATTTATATTAATTATAATAATAATTATGTAATATATATGTATATACATTACATCGCAATGAACATTAAATGATACGATAAATCATACGCTACACTGTCGCAATTTTTTTTACGTTAATTTACATATTCGAACTGCAGATTTTTATCATTTTTGATTTTAATTATAAATACGTTTAAATTCTAAAAGATTTATCGCAATATATTTATAATATCGAATAATTCGAAGCAATATTTAACATAGATTGTTAAAAAAAATTTGCGACAAAAATTCTTTTTACTCTTATTATTAAATGTTTATAATATATTATAGATATACTACAATTAATAAAATAAAAAGTTTATTTATAAAATTTATAAATGAACTTTTACGCAACGTAACACAATATCGTTCGTTTTAAATTTGTGCGTAAAATGATTATTTTCTTATGTTTTCTGTTCGATGTGCGAGGAATAAATATAAAAAAGGATAGAAAAAAAAAACAAAAACGTATCATAAATAGATGTATAATTGCAATATACGATTATAAGATATCGATATAATACTCGTTGCACTCATAGATATTAGAATAATATTTTGACTATCGTCGTTGATTATTCAATTGTCGATGTATGAAAAAATGTTTCGATTCGAAAATTTTTTGATGTAAAAGAGAGTTTGAGCGACGATGAATATTACATATAATTTAATTTTTCGTTATTTCGCATTTTAACGAGATGCACAACCCTTCGAGTATTTTCATTATAACACGTGACATTTGATCATACGATACGAATCTTTATAATCAAAAATTATTACATAATGGGATCTGAAAAATCGATAATAATTATCGAAATTTACGATCGATTTTATCGTAATTACCAATATTGTTCAAAATATCATCCATTTCGATCGATACGTGAACGTAATACGATCGACGGTACAATGACACGTGCAAGTGCGATTATAACCTTAACAATCTAATGTTCCAGCGATATTTTTGTGATTTTTCGTGTCTTCTTGGCGTATAAATAAATACGTACGTATCTACAAATATATATATATATGTACATACACACATATGTATACTATATAACGAATAAATACCGTGCACCTATCTCGGAATATCCATCGATCAGATCATCGTTCGATCAGATGAGTTACGCATGTAATTGTAATCGACAATTTTATTCTATATACGTATACGTGTATGTAATGTGTATGATATTTACAATTTGATACATGTACGAGAACTTTTTGGAATTTTTACGTTTGATATTATATTATACGTTCGAATCGATGTACATATATCTTTTAAAAAATAAAGATACATATATTTTATATGCATATACATAGATATAGATTCGCGATACAAAATTTTATCGTTCGTTTTAGCATCTCGATTTTTATTATTTTATATCTTCATTCCGATGAATAAATACATTGTTTCCATTTATGGTATTTATATCGTGAAAGAACGGTTACATTCGATGGTTCATTGCACTTGTCCGCGATAAACAATTATTCGTAAGATGATAATTATAGGAATGAAACGGAATAAAACTTGTAACAAGGGTGGGGGAGGATTTAGTCTGATTTGAGGAAACGTAAACGAACGGTTTGAGAAAAATCTCGTGATTCGAATTTTATATATATATATAGATATCGTCGAAACGTGTTACTCGCACGTGGATAATAAAAATTGATTCGAAATATCGATATATCATTGCGTCGCGCGTCGAAAAGTAAAAAGTAGGGAAAAGTGCTTAGTCAAACGCGTAGTGCGTAATCAGGAATATTGGCACTCGTATCGTAACATTTGCTTTGTCAATACCGATCTATCATTCTAATCCATAAATCTTTGGATTAGAAATCTCTTCGTAAATTGTTTTTCCTTGTAACATTCATTCCTTTTTGTTAGATATTTTCTAACTATAATAATATAATAATGTTTTGAAATATCTGTTTTGTTCTACGCTATATATATATATTATGTATATATATAATATATATATATATTATGTAATACATGTGTATATAATATATATACATATAAAATTTTTCAATTAGATAAGGGAGAAACGTGATAATATACTATTGTCTGTGTATACGCATGCAGAACGTGCAAGTTGAAAAATAAGAGTGGGAGAAACTCTTTTCGGTGATGGACTATAAAACCACGATCGATCGATCGAGGGATCGTAGTGTCTTTTTTGCGATTTACTTTGTTACGCGACGACCCTACCTGACAACTCGTGTACACGTTCGGTTATCGATTTGTTAATAAACATGACCTCCCGTATGACGAAAAGGGTGTCCATTGTTTCCATCTCGGAACGGATACAGACATCGTTATCTAAACCTAAAGGTACATTTTTTTATTCTCTCTACTTATCCACTCGTTTCATTTATAAATACGCGTGATACGCTCGAGTTGTTGGTCGAACGAAGAAACGCGTACGTACGTAATTTTCGGATATGATACGTACATATACATACATACACGTATACATACAATTATGTTCCCGATTGAAAACAAATTACGTGAATAGAAATACGTACAAGTAGATATTTTATATAGACGAGATAATAAGATCGATCATCGTTTCATAAGAGATAAAACTGGACGAAAATCAAATTGCGATAAATCGCGATATCGATCGAATATAAATTTGATTTGTCGCGGCTTGTGCAAAGATTGGTAACGTTTGCCCTCGTTTATAAAATCGCGTTTCTCACGTGTTTTCTCTCCCTCCCTCGACTCGCGCAATTATTTTATCCGTCAACATTATTTTCCTCGCATCCCTTTCGTTCGATCCTCTTTCAAGATCAAACCTTTCGTTTATTAATTCCTTTTTGAATATATTTCGCCTCTTTTTATTAATTAACTTTATATATAAATTAAACAGAGATATTCGCCTCGTCTTGTGGCGATAGATTCGCCCGATAGACGGAATTATTTTTCGTGCATACATTTTTCACGCGTAAAAGCGAAGAGAATTGTTTCATTCACGAATCAATATCGTTTACGATATTTTTTACGATTTATAAATTCTGGCCGACGATATTAAATGCTGGTTTTTTAATTACGAGGACGCTTAAGAACACAGTGTGTTTTGTGCAACGTGCGTGGCATAAATACGTGACGAATCGTTACGAATTCCAAGACATGACGGCAACATGCTCGTCAATGTCAGATTTCTCGCGATGTCCTAGAAATGTGGAATACTCGTCCGCATTCTCTCCGCATTGTTCGAGATCCCGCGTTGCGCGAGAAATATAAAATGCAACGCCGTCTCGTTTCCAGTGCTTAGCTTCAAAGCTTCTGAATCGTATCATCATTTTTAAAACGGTTACGATTCGATTGCACGATAACATTATCGAATAAACTACCGACTGAACACCGACAGATATAAATCACGATTTAAAACATGCAACATGTATCATTTAGATACGATATTAAATTATCTATTGATTAATAAAACAAATAATTTTGTATTACAGAATTAAGAGAAAAATGTAATATGTATAAGATACTTTATATATATATGCGATATATCTAATATCTAGCATGCAAACAAATATATCTACATATATCTATACGTATAGTTCGAACGAAGCTTTCTCTATTTCTATCTCGAAATCTCTAAATAAATTCGTAAATAAAATTCAATTTCGATCGATCGAAGGTTTTTAATAAAAAGCTGTTGTTAAAAACTAACTTTTCCTTAGATAATTATTATATTTTTCGCGTGTAACTCGTTCTGTTTTTATTTCAATTTCTTTCGAGAGAACGGAATAAATAGGAAAAAGAAATAGAAAAAAATTTAAAAAAGAATCATGTTGCGACATTGAAATGTTGTGATTTCAATAAGTGTAATCGCGCGTGTGATGATTAGACCGCGTGAAAAGCACGTGCAAGCGAATATCTTTAAAACTTTCTACGTTTTATCCTTCGAGAGTATAACTTTCTAAATTTTTATAAAGTTATTTCAAAGACATTTATCGTGATTTATATAGTAATTATCTTTAACTTAATATGTTCTTATAAAGAACAATATTGTTTTTTTTTTTTATTAAAGAAACTTTGTATCGTATATATACATATATATATATATACACACTTAGATATCGTGTATTTTTAATGCTCATGCATAATTCACACTATTCGCACAATTAATCACCAATCATTATTAACCAAGTATTAATGAGACAGTAATAAAAAAAATTTCTTCGATTTTTTGTATTATTATTTTTTTTTTATATTTGAGTTTAAGAATAATAAGCAAACAAATTGTATTGCAATACTGTGTCATGAATTTTTATAATTTTTTCAACAACAACAAGGGAAATTCCACGAATGATCTGTAGAAATTCCTATCGTTTTCTACGTTTTCTAAGTTTTTATTATTCGATGCGTTCAATCTTGTTGTCGTGTGTCTAAAATAATAATCGATCTTGTCATATATTTGCTTTAAGATTAGAATCAATTTCTTGGAATGATTTTTTATTTTTTTATTTTTTTCCAATTTATTTATATTTTATTTCAGGTAATCTTGTTAGAATAATCCATGGTGATTACAGAATATATATAATTATATTGCGATGTCAATATTTCGTCTCTCCCGTATTTATTCGTATTATTTTGATATTCGAAAACTTAAGTAAAACATTTATTCGTATTTTCATCGCATAAACTTTTTTTTTAAAAGAATTTGAATATTTAAATACTTCAACGTGACACAAATAGATATACGTAGATTATTTTAAACACATTTTAAATTTATGATAAAAGTGTTTTAAAGTAATTAAATCGATATTACAAGAGCTACAGGAACCAATGAAAAAATCGAGAAGAAAAATTCGAAAGATATCGAAGTTTTTTCAATTTCAGGAATGCTTCTAACTCGCAAATCTTATGTATGTAATCTTGTTTGTCGTTAATCATCCTCGGTTCAATGCGAATATAAGATGATTAATCGTAGCAATATATATATATATATATATATGGTGTCATTTACTTTTTGATAAAACATTATAAATATTACAACATTCTACTTTTACATATACATTTAAAAACGTCTAAAGGAATAAACGATTTTCTAATTAATTTTAATATCTTTAATTTTAATAAACGTTTCAATTTATAATTTACAGCATCGTATGGATGTAGACACACGCAGGGCATTTTGATGGCTTTGGGTTTCTTCTGTTGCTATGCCATTAGGGTGACCACATCGGTGACGCTAGAAGCTATGACCAATGCTTCCACTGCAAATCCTGCTTTTCCAGTACGATTATTTTCTCATCTTTGAGTCTGCTTACCATTCGTATTCGTTGTTTCATTCGTTAATTATTCCAGAAAAGTTGTACAATATAGATATATCACGTATAATCTTACTTCACGTCTGGTTTTAAGAATCTTTTTCCATATATCTATTTAAATGCATCACGCTACATTTTTTATCGTATCTTAAATAACAAAAATTCTTAAAATGCATCATCGGTCGATAAGACTATTTTTAATATCTACCTCTTTTTACTTCTATTGTAAAATATGTTTATAAACGCATACGAACGTAATCAACGCGATCGTTATTTTCATGTTCGGTAATAAGTTTCTTCTTCTTTTCGATGCTATGGTATCGAAAAATGATCTTTTTTTCATTGTACGTATCTATCACATATCCATACTACTAGAAAATGTATGCGTACATTTTAATCACGATCTACTGTGCAACGTAAAAAACTATATTTGTAATAGTTCAACACTTATTATTTTTCACCTCGATCACTTTATCAAATATGGATAGATTTGTGCACGAAATAAATTGTATACGATTGCCATTGATGAATAGTAAATTTTTATTTTTTATTTTTGAAAGTTATTTTTCCCAACTTTGGATTATTTCTTTATGTTTCAAGCAATTTTCATGGGACGAAAAGATCAAGGATGTAATCCAGAGTTCCTTTTTTTGGGGATACGTGTGCACGCAAATCATTGGCAGCATGGTGGCGCAACGGTGGGGAGCTCATAAACTTTTCTCACTGGCACAATTCGCGTGCGGTTTCGTAACGCTTTTAATTCCCGTGCTTGCCGAACACGCAGGATGGGAAGCGTTTTGCGTTACCAGAGTGATCGCCGGTATATTTCAAGGCACCGTTCTTCCGTGTCTTCACGCGTTGCTCTCAAAATGGGCACCGATAGAAGAAAGAGGAAGAATATGTGAGTATCGAGTATGGAATTTGTATTTTGATTATTATTGTTGATCTTTCATCAATTCGAAAATAAATAAATATTTACAATTCTTACAATTTTTATCATTTTCGTAGATATTAATTATAATTATGTATTTATTTTATTTTTCGTAGAATGAAAGAGAATGAAAAAATAAAATAATAGTTTTTAAAATAATAATTTGTTCGGTTAAATTTTATTATAATTAATTCATTGTATGCGTATTCGTTGTACGATTTTATTCAGCGACATTCGTGTATGCCGGAGGTTGGATCGGAAATGTAACTTGTTTACTGAGTACGGGTCTATTGGCTGCTTCTCCTTGGGGATGGCCTAGTTGTTTTTACGTTTGGGGCAGCATAACTATCGTTTCCAGTCTTTTGTTCTTCTTCATCGGTTACGAGTCACCGGCCGAACATCCAAATATACCTCAAGATGAAAAACAATATATCGAGAGTAGTCTTGGAATGATAGAAATGGAAGAAGTAAGAATATTTAATATATTCAAAAAATGTATCATCGCATATATTATATATAATATATCGCATTTAATGATAATATTTTTCTAGAAATTATCAACCCCTTGGATCAAAATACTTACTAGTCGTCCAATGTGGGCATTAATGGCTACTCAATCTGCTCACACTTGGGGTTTCTGGATGCTTTTAACGAAAATCCCATCGTATTTTCAAGCGGTATTTAAGGTTAACATTAAAGAAGTAAGTAAAAGATAAATTGTTCGATATATACGTATAATTTTTAATTTGAATTTAGCGTTGTAACTCGTTCCTATACATAATTAAATTATACATCTTTCGCTTTATTAATAATAATTAAGAATCACCAAACACGAGTAACAATTTATATTATTAAATTTTCGAATTAATTCGAATATTTTTTATCGTGTTTTAGAATGGTCTTATGAGCGCATTACCATATTTCACAGCCTGGCTATTTAGTTTTCCCGTAAGCTTTATTTCGGATTTACTTATCAAGCGAAAGATCCTCACTATTGAAGCATCGAGAAAGATTTGTAATACGTTCGGTGAATGGGTACCAGCGCTCGCATTAATAGGTCTTGGATATGTTAACAAAGACCACTCTGAAATAGCAGTGGCAATTTTAGTAATTGCTGTTACTAGCAATGTTGCTATTTATTGTGGACACAACGTCAATCATATGGATCTTAGTCCAAATTTTGCCGGACCATTGATGGGTATCATAAATACCGTAGCGAATGTTTTTAGTATTTTGGCTCCGTTAATCGTCGGTGTTATCGTTCATGACAAGGTATGTATAATATATTATTTATTTATTTAAAAAAATTTACGTTTTATTATTCGTGTATCTAAATTATATGAAAATTTGATAAATCGTTATGTTTTCAATATTGATTCTTCAAATAATACATATTGTTTATATAACAAATGAAAAAAAAAAACAACGTTACGCGAATTATATCTCGATATAATATATATTGATAAGTAATATAATATATTAGAATTGAATATATATATATATATATAACTATTCGAAATAATAAATGTGAAAATATAAAATGTATTAATTTTTACTATATTTAAATTTTCAGACTAATGTTGAAGAATGGAGAAATGTATTCTTTTTAACAAGTGTAATATATTTCGTTGGAAATTTAATTTTTATCGTGTTTGGTACATCTAAAATTCAAAAATGGAATGATCCTAAAACACAGAAAGATATCGCCATGAATTCTACAAACGAATCATCGGTGGAAAATGGAAATGTACAGAAAACCAAAGAATATTGAAAAGATGGCTTTTTATAGAAAAAGAATCGTGATGGTGTTATGATGCTAGACAGTATAAATATTTATCATAACTATTAATAAAATGTATTATAGATGCTGTGATCGAACAATTCAATATCATCATTTTCATTATTTTATGAATACATATGAAAAATGTATCATTATTTTATTTGTAAATGCATATGATTTTTAAATGTGCATTGTATATAAATATTTATGTTATATATAAATATTATTATATTTAATATTTATTAAATTAAAGAACAGTACGCATGAACGTATTTATGCAAGTTTAGAAGAATTTGTTACTATAAAAGTACAAATGATCATAATATATCAACATATTTAATTAAGATATGTTACTCTCTCTTAAGATGTTGTTTAGGCATAGATTTCCAAATTGTATGTATAAGGAATACTGTACATAATATTGTTAATAACAATGTTGTATAAGTTACCAGAGGTAACATAGTTGTCTCACCAATTGGAATTGTCCATTCATTTTCCATATCCTGTAAAAAAAATTAAAAATTCCAACAATTTTCTATTTATAAAGTTATATAAATAAGATATATTTTTAATATTCTTACAACATACATTATTATTTAGTATCAAGTATGGAATCTCTCTCCATTTAGGTACGATATCTACGCATGGAGAACACAAATCAATTTTAGAAATTCTGTATTCTTTAAGTCTTTTTCTGCAGCCCAATAACAACTTTGGATCTGGTAAGCTAATATTTATGTATTTATCATTTACACCAGCATATCGATAACGTTGATGTACTGGGAGTTTTAAGGTACTTTCTACATTAGTTAAATGTGAACAAATACTTATATTTTGTATTTGTGCTTTTTCAGTGAATAACTCAACATTGGTTTCTCCGCTAGAACATGCTGTGCTCTGGAATGATTGAATATAAGGGATATAAAAGATATTTTGTACTTATTAAAAAAGATAATAATAAAGATATAAAACTTGGATTGAATCAAAATAATTTCATATATATATTATAATGATATTTAATTAAATTATTCTACTTACAATTCCGAGTCTTCTTAAATGATTTAATTCATTAACATCAACATATAAAGCAGATGGAAGTTGCAAATAAAGAGCAATGTAACAATCCTCTATGAAATGATCGATATATATTTGATATATTAAATTTCTGTAAATAAAATTTTTTGTTAAAAATAAAGTAAAATATTCAACAAATTTTTATAAATTATCGATATTTAAATGTATATCTTCTAAATATATATTTTCTAATAATATATAAATTTTATGTATCAAATATACTTTCATTTATGATAAAATATGATAAAAATTTATATAAAGATAATTGAAATTCTTAAATTTTCGTTTAAATATGATATGAAAATTATAAATTTAATAATACATTAACAAATATTATATACAGATATTAATTAAATTCTCACAATTAATGATCGTTACAGATTATTTATTAATTTGAATAATAGAGATTCTTACTATATATATATATATGTGTGTGTGTATTTTGATATACATAACCTATGAAATCCTGTTCCTTCTACATTTAACGAAATATGAGCTTCTAATTCATCGCAATTTACCAATAAAATTAGTGTGTAAAATAAAATAATTTGTATAAAATATCGTTTAGCACAATTTAATATCATTTTTTAAATATAATATGTAATTGATGCATTTCAAGATAATACATTTTATTTTTATAAAAAATTGGTAGATGTCACTGATATGCAACTTTTTGAACATTACGTTAACATTTTCATATTCATTTTTAAGATTTATTTATCATCAAATTTTAGAAATCATAATTTCAATATATGTGCATAATATGCAAGTACAATTTATTCATGCATAAGTATGTATATATGTACATAAGTATGTATATATGTACATACTTATGCACCTACTAAGTACTTATATATTATTTCAATATTGAAAAAGAATACATTACATTATGTTTTAATTACCATCAACTGATGTATAGCTTGAAATTTATTTTATAATTTATTAAATATCTCTAGAATTTTATTTTGAAAATTAATGTCAAATCAAATTAAAAAAAAAATCCTTAATTTACTTACGTATTTTACAATTTTGATGGAATGATTTTTAAAAATAATGAAACTAATCTATACATTTATATGTACGTTTGTGTACTTTTTTTAATGTTTTGAATATATTGTAGATTATGTTGACCTTCATTTTATATTATATCCTTTTTAAATTTGATCATTTTTTTTATTTTAATCTTACGTTCAATCTTACGTTTTAATCTAGATAATTTTTAAATTAAATTAATTATAATTTATTCTTATAATATTTTTAATCATTATAAACTTTAATGTATAGCAATTTATGATTAAAATATAAATGTTGTACTTTAATTTTTGCATGAAATAAATAATAGTAATGCTCCAGCCAATCAGAAAATTGTTAAGACTCAGCGACAAAGTGAATGCAATGCGCATCATAATGCGCATGATGTTAATCTATTGTTGAAAGTATCGTGACAAGTTACGTTTTACCGGCAAAAGTGAGTAATTACATAAAATTTGTATCGATTCGGTATTTTATTACCGGTTATTGAGTTTAATTATAGATTATTAAACCTTGTTTAATCAATACGGGTTTATTTAATCATTATTGTTTCAGAATTCAAAACGTCTTGTGCAGATTATCCTTTGATTGCAACTTCGAAAGCGAGATGATTTTGAAAGTGTAATAATTTTTACATATTATGACAATTAAGAGATAATTCAACAATTTTCGTGTAAATGTGGCAAGTTTTTTTATTTTTTTTAACAAAAATGTAATTACTATAAACTTCTTTCGTTTCTCTTTTTACATATATATAATATATGTAATATATGTAATATATATGAATTCGCAATATACATATTTCACACATATTCTTATATATACATATTTCTTTTCTAAATGCATCATTCGTACGTTCAACTCGCGTATTGTTATTTCTGTATTTATTTTAATTTTATGTTCAAAGCCTCAAAGCGTGAAAACATTTCTTACAATATAGCCTTACCGGGAAATTGACGATTCGTGTTCGTGTCACGTTCGACACTTTTCGTCGAGCGTGTATTTCCTCTCTCCTTCCAATTTGGAATTTGACATCGAAATTGCTCGCGTGTCATTTTGTCGTCGAAACGAGATGGTTAAACACTTCGGATGTAAGAATTATCTATTTTGTAATATTTATTTAACAATTATTATTTTATTTTTTATATAATATTTCATTAATATTTGTTCAATTATTTGTTGAATATTAGATATAATTAATAATTCTTTGAGGAATAATTTATTCTTTTATTTATTCGTCTAATTGATCTTTAGAATTAGCATTAATTCGTATTATGAATTTTTAAAATAATTTAGGTTATTATATTATTATTTTAATGCGATCATTTTAATCTTAATGATTGAATTTTTTTTTTTTTTAATAGATAAATAATTTCAAAATTATTTTAAGCAGGAAAAAAGAAATACGAAAACCATGATTTTACATTTTACGAAAGAAAAAAAGTTTCGTAAAATTTAAATTTTTTTATTGGAAAGATGTGTGTAATTATTTTTTTTTCTTTTTATTAAATTATTATTTATATATTACAATATGTATATAATTTTTATATTATTCATAATTATTATAATAAAAATATTAAAACAATAATTCGATATTGATATCGAAATATTATGAATTTTTTATAACATAAAAAAATTTTCAAATATTTGTAATACACTAGATAATGCGAATAATATATTTAAACCTATTAGTTTTTTTCGTATTTTCGAAAATATTCTTTGATAAAATATTCTCATTTATGATAGTATTTTCATTATTATTTAATTTTATGTCAATTATCGATTAACGATTCTTTTTCTCGAATATTAAAATTAGTCATATTAATAGTAGAATAAAATATAAAGATATATAAATAGAAATATAATATAAATTCATTAAAATTTGAAATTATACAAAATAAAAGTTTATATATATATATATATAGCTTTTTAGTTCAGGATTTTCAGGTTTAATGTCTTATGTTCGTTGCCAGGATATGATGCCAGTTCGTTCTCACTCGCGTGCTTAGGTGCTATTTGGATAAGAGAAAGACGATGGATATGATGATCCATAATTGATTATTAAAATTTATTAAAATTTCTCAGCGACCAATGACGACGAATTAGTGAATTTTTCACATTGTGTGCGTGTTAGATTGAATTACATCGTTTTAATCCATCGATAAAGATTGGAAATTCCATTACAATTTATGACAATGATATTACATTCCTTATATACTACGGATTAAGATTAATTATTAATCTTGCAAATTATAATAACAATATTTTTTCGATTATATGAACATTTATGTAATTTTGTTGCTTTTTACGCAATGGTCTCTAGTCATTGTTAGTGGATTTCAAAAGAATGGCACGTAAAGTTAGAGCATAAAAATAATATAGATTTTTATGCGTGAGAATCATAGAGATGTATCGATATCTTCGTTTTTTTAAATATATTTTTTTTGAATTATTTTTTTAAAATATAAAACTAGATAAAATAAGTAGCTTTGCGCAAATATCGATTGTAAGATAGATAGAGTTGTCATAATTTTTCATAGAGTAGGATTCTTTTTTTTTTCACGTGGCGATCTGTTTCAAGAAATCAAATTTGAAAAATCGAGGGTGTAAAACTAAGAAATATCAATGGATAATATTATGTCCTCTCTGGCTTCGTTTTTTCTGTTAGTGTTTTAGAACGATTTCCAACGAGGAATTGTTTTAAAATCACGATTGTATTAAACGAAGTTTTAGTAATAGAGATTAGCAATGTATCAAGCGACGTCGTCCTTGAAGGGTTAATTTTGCTTACGTATTTCGATCGCAGCATGCTAGATGGCGTAACAAACACTGATCTTTTCTCAAGTTGATAATTTCAGAAAACACGTGACACAAAATTCCATAAAATATCACGCGTATTCTGCAATAGAAAAAGAATTAATTTATAAATAAAGTAACGAATTGTTTTCCTATATGAATAATGAATTCTTCCTTTTTTTTCTTTTTCATAATTTTTATAATTTTTTTAATTAAGAAAACGCAATTTCGAACAAACGAATCGATATTATACATACACAAAAAACATGTATTCCATCCTATAACATTAGCGTATAAAAAAATAGAAAGAAAAAAATAATAATTAAAAGATAAAACAAGTAGCGAGTAATGGAAGTGGAAAGAAACGATAAAAGATAAAAGGATACCTTTGTTATATTATAAATTATAAATCCGTTTACGGATTTACATTATATATAATTGATTTGGATAGAATAAGGTTAAGCGAAATGTACATATCCGCTACACGTATATTGTCGCTAAGAAACGAAAATAGCTACTGTCAGCCCTAGTACGTTACGGAAAGAGGTGGTTAAGCAAGAATCGAAGTACAAGATGACGAAGGTGGGACAAGAAATGCCAAAACGAAACGAACGAAGGTGGTGTGCCGGAACCTGGAATCAAATTTGTCACTTGTAAAAGAGTTTATTACGTAATAATTTTTTTCTTCGGATGTATTTGCGCGTTTATCGCTCGTCAAATTCGTAATCGATGCTAAAGATTCGTAGAGGGAAAGAGAGAGAGAGAGAGAAAGAGAGAGAGAGTTTATGTAGAGTAAATCCCTCTGTTCGGAATAATTAATTCGATTCGAAGCAAATTGATCGCCGTTTCCTTTCTTCGCGTGTTACGCGTGTCCGCATATTTGGCGCTCCAACATACGTATCCTCGCATATTTGGCGCCTAACCTATCGTTCTATCACATATTTGGCATCTGACATCGGCCATTGTCACATATTTGGCGCCATAATCCGCGATAATATTGATCGTCGCATTATCTCGATCGTTCGGTGTAACGCTCGAATAAGAATGTAAATTTTTTCACAGTATTTTTTCACAGATACGTACTTTGTACTTAAAAATCTTACCCGTTTTACGATCCACGATTTTTCGAAATGTTTCGAATCGTTTCATCGTGAGTAAAACAATAATACGAAATAGTTTGACATTTGTTAGAAATAACATAGAGTAGAGATAATCTAGTGCAAGTATTATTCGAATATACTTTGCTTTTTCAAAAATTACGAAAAGATATATTTTATAATTGCAAAAAAAAAGGAACAAATATTGACGAGAAAATACCGATAAAGTAATAAAATTTTATTATTTTCCTTCGATCCGAGCTATTTTATATTTGTCGAAAGGAATATGTTTTAATTGTTAATAATTTAATTATAAGTAATATAAGAAGAAATATAATCGCGTATCTAAAACATTACGTAAATACGTTAATACCATGAAAAAGAACGAGAATGTCGATAAAAAATAATATCATTCGGAAATATCTCTTAAGAACGTATTTTAACGATCAAAGCTGCTTTCGCGGACATCTGGAACGATGACGATATTACGATCAATTTCCTGTATTCGATATATATATATATATATATATATATATATAATAATAGTATAC